AAGTCCTTCGCCATGACTTCCAGTCCCACCCCTTTACTCAAGGGCCGGGAGGCACAGCCGGAGTACTGGTTTGCTGTTCCACAGGAGAGGTCAGATTTGCACCAACACACAAATGCCTAGATTAAAGTATAGAAAGATATACTCTTCATGTGGATGATTGGTTGAAAGGTGAAATGTGTGTGTTTCAGGGTGGACGATCTGTACTCCTTTTTTGTCCAGTGGTCTCCTGATGTGTACGGGAAAGAAGCCCGAGAGCAGGGTTTTGTTGTGGTGGAGAAAGACGAGCTGGACATGATCGACAATTTCTTCAGCGACCCCGCGTCCTGCAGCTGGGAGGTGAGGCAATCTGGCTAGAACTTGTCAAACAGAAATCTGTTTTCACACTTTTATCTATTTCTTTCTACTCGTGTCTCTTTTTACTTCTGCATCTATTAGATCATCACCATTGACGAGGCCAAGCGTCGCCAGAGTTTTAGCAGCTGTGACAGGGACTCTTCCGTCGATGCTCTGCCCATGCTCATCGATAGCAGTGATATACTACAAGATACACACATTGAAAAGGTAGTTGTGATTTCTCTCCAAAAAATACTGACTGTAATTCTAGCTAATCTAGCTCTGTCCATCTAATGAACCTAGAGCAGAGCTTTCCAAAGTGTGGGCGCGGTCTGAAGAGGAGAAGACGCTTCTCTTTAGATCTTATGTCCACAATTCATGACAGGAAGAATATTTTAGTACATATATTGGAGGAAAGGAAAGGAGAAGGAGAGGAAAGTGGGGAAATTTTGAATGGCTACTACTGTGTACAATATGCGGCTGTCTAAGAAGCACTACAGGTGGGCCTACTCGCCACCTTCATGTCTACCAGTTATGTGAATGAGATGTTTCTGTGTTTAAATGATCAAAACACAAAATGGACACGCCGACTAACGTAACACCAGGAGAGTTCATACCTGCTGATATGTGATGCCCTGTTGTAGGAATGTCCATTGCTCTTTACATATAAATGAAGAAAACAGGTTCAAATATGTAATACTAGCACATTCCTTATCCATATATGTTGTGAAAGTCCATTTCTGTTGGGCAGATAAATCTAGGAAATTTTCATTTTTCAAATGAACACGAATGAGTCAGACTTTTTAAGGCAGTGTGTCCCATGTTGTCAGCTACACGGAGGCTCACATTTTTACCTACAGAACAACAGTGAAAGCTTTGGGTCACATTCAGACCTTCAAATGAATGATGACATGCCTGTATGGGTGCATGTTGGAAAAACATAAAAGTGAGTGCATTCACATGAATGATTCAGTTTTCTGTGTTAAGTTCTGTTGGGGTGTGAGATATCACAGCAGTTTTACATTTTAGGCTACATTAAAGGTTTCCTAAGTGGCAGCTAAGTAAAGAAATTCACTTTTGTGCACTTTTACCTGTAGCATAACCACACTATTTACATTTACACATAAAGCATAGAGTTGCGGGGCGGTCATTGCTTGGCAAAGCAATCCCCAATAGCCCTGAGTTCATATTTGATTATGTAAAAAGAAAATGTGATATTATTCTAGAGGATGGCAGAGAGTCGAGATGCAAGTTAAAAACCATTGAAATGTGTTAAAAAGAATCAAATATTCCGGGTGTAGTTAGTTCTTTGAACAGGGTTTACACTTCCACGAACAAGTTAAATACAACAAATGCTGGTTGAAAACTGAATCAGAATAACACTTTTCTACTGATCAGAAAAGATTGTAACTTGAAGTAGACCAGTATAGATATATATATATATTATTATTATTATTATTATTATTATTATTATTATTATTATATTTTTTTTTTTTTTTTTTTTTTTTAACTGAATATATCTGCAACCTGACTTAGAGGAACCTCCTGCTCTTTGCTGAAGAATAGATTTCCTCAGCATGCTGCTGCCACCACCATGCTTTGGAGTGTGAACTGTAGCTCAGTATGATGTCGAGTGTTGGTAGAATTTGGCTCGCAGGGAAAAAAGTTCAGTTTTGGTGCCTTCTTTTACAGGTTTGCGGTTTCCCCTGGGTTTTTTTTTTATTTCCTTTGTTCTCCAGATGTTAGATTTTCTTATTCTTCTCTCACTTGAGCTGTAAATCTCTGCAGCCCCAATTAAATTAGTATGACGCCTCTTGGCTGTTTCAGTTGAAGCTGTTATGTCTGCTGTGTTCATTGAACATTATACTGCTGTTTGTGCACTAATGTTCTCTAACAAACTTCTAATGCTTTCACAGATCGGTTGCATTTTTACTGAGATTAAATTCCAAAAATGTCCTTTGCACCTCCCCAAGAAGACAATTGCCTTTCTTTTCCTTCAGCTTGCCTGTCGTCTGCCAGCCCGTGTGCAGGGCTACCTGTGGAGACTGGCCTACAGCACAGAGAAAAACGGCACCAGTCTGAAGACTTTGTACAGGAACCTGGCAGATGTGGACAGCCCTGTGCTGCTAGTTATCAAAGACATGGATCAGCAAGTAAGTAACAGGCCTTAAAGAATTTTTTATTTTTTATTTTAGTGCTTCCTATTGGTGGAAAATATATAGAGGGGAAAAAACAAGTCTGGTAATTTGATTATGTTATGTAGTTTTTTATAAATATAATATGTTGTTTTTTATCTTGTCACAGATATTTGGAGCTTTTTCAACTCATCCCTTCAGAGTCAGCGAACATTTCTATGGCACTGGAGAGACGTTCCTTTATAGTTTCTGCCCTGAAATTAAGGTTGGCTTCACTAGTCTCACAAACCGATCACTAATTACAATGATAACCTAGCTTCAAACTTAACATGCCATCATTTCAGGTGTACCGATGGTCGGGGGAGAACTCTTACTTTGTGAAAGGCAACACTGACTCTCTGCAGATGGGAGGAGGAGGGTGTGTACTGTTACCACTTATTCCCTTTACTGTTGAGCAGAAAAAAATGCAGTATAACCAAATCCTGACCTTTTTCTTCCTTCTCTAATGTAGCGGCCATCTGGGTCTTTGGCTGGATGAGGAACTTTACAGAGGCACCACCACTAAATGTGCTACCTTCAACAATCAGCCACTTTCTGCCCAGCAGGACTTTAACATCCACAATCTGGAGGTGTGGACCTTTGAGTAGCCTCATCTTCTCAAACTCCAAATATATCCTCGCATCTTAAGTCATTGACAAAACACTCGCAATGCTTCACTTGGAGGCGGGCCTAGTTACTCATGAATGATTTGGAACGTACTGTGATACAGAAGCAGATGGAGAGGCTGTGTTCTGCAGGGTGCTTAGTGATGACTCCACATCTATAAACGGGTGGAAGTGAGACAAAATGCCCTCTGCTCATCTGCTGCCTTTCATATACAACAGTGGCTCCAGCTTCCCCTGCGTGAACGGTGCCTCACCACCTCCAGCTTGGAGAGAGATGAGTGGAAAGCTGCTTGTTGACCGCGTGGCTAAAACCTAAAAAGGCCAAAATGCTCACATTAATGTTCACTTTATTCTCAATGACAGCAGATGAAGCTGCACGAATGAATAGAGAGTCTCAGAATGCTGTGGGGTTATCCTTACAGACACAATAACAGTGTTAATAATATTTGTATGTTTGACAATGTGCATATTTATGTACTGAAGGAATTTGGAATGTCAGCGGGTTTTTTTTCCCTCTTTATTCCTCTAGTTTAGCTAAGGACTTAAAAGGAAGTAAAAAATGCCTTGGTTCATTTTAAAATCTTCATCAAATAACTCAAATGTTTACATCAGAAGCGCTTACCTCCCCTTTACTGATGACTTCCTCTCTTGTGGTGAGTCATAAATGGCATTAATGAGACGCGGTTTGCTCCCAAATAAACATGATCAAAAAACCTACCTGCTAGAGACTGAAACAAGTTTGCAATGACCAAATATTTCCTGTTTTGTTGATGACCTTGTATTTTATAAGAATATTTTTGCATTTTATTTTTATATTGTTTTTTTTATGAGACAAATGCTCCTTTTGCAGCTTGTTTTTTTTTTCTCCCTATTTTTTACCGTAGTTAATGACTGACCTTGAATAATTTTATGTTTGAATTTTTTTTTCTTCTTTTTTTTTTTTTTTTGGTCATTGCTGAGCCAGTTTAACATAAAGCCACTTTACACTACAGGATGCTAATGATGCCGTTATGGCCCCTAATAATGAGCATTACTTTAATATTCCTATTAAATCGTTACTGAATGTCTTTGAATCTTAACCAGAGGGGCAAAGCTGCCTGTCCATCCACGGCTAGCTCTCTGTGTTGGGTAAATCTTTATGAAGAAGGGATCATATGTTCTTGCACTCTTAAAATGGCACTAACCGAACAATCAAATCTACTAACTTGCAATTGTAACTTTTTTTTGTATCTGAATGAATGCTTGTAGGGCATGAACATGCAATACAGCTATAATCCATCACCACTACCTTTCATACTCTCTTCACTGATGCCAGTTAAATGCTTCATGTTTAGTTGAACGTTATTATCTTAAGCTGGCTGGTGTTGTAACTGTGAATGCTCCCCAAGTATTATTTCTTGTGAATCCAAAACTGCTGTGATGTCACTATGACGTTATTTATTGTGTTGTGATTGCCACCGCATTTAAATCCAAATAAATGTTAAAACATATAAAAAAAAAAAAAGCAACTGGTTGGTCATGATTTTAGTTTGTCAAAGTGGGAACAAAAGTTATTTACTGAAAACTGAAATGTACCTTTAATGATATGTGGTCATCTCACCAAAGATTGTTTCTAATAAGGAGGTATCACTTCGTCGTGTGTTTTTTATTTTATATTCTGAATTACTTGCTAAAAACAAGACAGGTTTGACAAATTGACAACTTATTTGTAATCTTTTTCTGCTCTTAGGTATTTAGAAATTATGGTCTTTAACTAAATTTACCAACTTTATATTTTATTAAAACAAAAGTCACCCGAGTACAACTCGTTCAGCCAGAAATTAACGATCTTTGGTGGGTTGTAATGCGGAACAAAAACACCCACCGGTGTTGAACGTGAAGACATAACCTAATCCTCACTACTAAACTTTCACCATGGCAAGAAACGAATCGAAATCCAGTGAAATTGCTGATGAATCGTGTATTTTCTGCCTTATTGCGCACAACAGAGATGAAGAAACGACAGTTCTTAAGAAGGTAAGGTGTTTCATGTTTAGGGATCATTCACCTGGTATACGTTTCTAATGAACTTCCTGAATAAAATTTTTTTGTACTACTGTATTTGGTCGATTATAATAGTTTTTACGAATGAATCAGGTTTGTTATTAGTCTGATTTTTGTTTTGTTGACGAAACTGAAGTTGGCTTCCGATTCGAGAAATAAAGGGCATTTCACTTTTTTCCCCTACCTTCAGCATCTTTAATCTATTCTAATTAAAATACTACAACACCTGGACACATCAAACCTGGGCTAGATTATTCTAAACTACTTGTAGAATAATTTCAAACAGGTGTCGGATTTGTCAAACCTTAATAGAGGCTGTTTTTAGCACTTTTATTTTTACTGTCCATGTCACACTATGAGGATTCTGGCTCTAATGCTACTACACCTATACCAGGGGCGGAGCTAGGGTGGGGTGGGGGGGTCAGTATTTTTTCCCCATAATACTGACAGTGGCAGCGGTAATACTCTCAAGTGATACTGCAATAATACTCTCAATATTCAAAACATTTTAATTTTTCATAAAATAACAATTACTTGACCGCAAAAACGCTGTGGTTAATTATACACATAAATATACTAACATTAACAGGGTTTCCGTGGGTCATTAAAAGTCATTAAATTATTATTTTTTAAATTAAGGTCTTAATTGGCATTAAATGTGTTTATTGTGGCATTTAAAATGCTTTTTTTATCGTTTATAAAAACAATTTCAACAGACATATTATACCATGATATATTTGCATGGAACTGCTTCCAGTTGATCGCAGAGCTGTATGTTCAGAAAAGAAGCTTGAGTCGGAGAAAAAGCTAGAGAATGGGGGGGAGGAAAATTTCAACAAAAGTGGTTGGAAAACGAGGAATTCGGGACATGGCTGCAGCCTGTCGACGGGTACCTGTTGCTGGCATTAAAATTATTTCTAAGAGCATTAAAAAGCATTAAATTTGAGTTATTCATTCCTGTATAAACCCTGATTAAAGATGATAAGCACAGAATTCATGCTCTTTTCAGAACTAGATTTTTTGTTATATGGGGTAAAGAGAAAAGGCAAGTCAGTCTTCAGTTAAATAATAGATAAATAACTATTCTGATAAAAATGTAGTAAACAAACAATTCTTGTAGATATTAGTACTTGTAAATTTCAATATTATGCAGAATGTTTATTCATAAAAGTAGGTAAGTAATGACAATGGTAAAGATGATCAACCCAGACCTCAAACCTGAAAGAACTTTATCCACTTTACCTTTTATCTAGATGGATGTTTAAATACATGCGTCTATTTGTTAGCAAAGGCTGTAGGAAAGTATAGTTTGTCTTTATTTAGGAAATATGGATGTTGTGATTGTTCATTTTCCTGTTGAATCAGTATAGATTGACCCTGAGGTTCTGGTGCCGATCCGCTTTTGGGCCACCCCTCAGTGTACATTGGTTATTGCCTGGCCACCGTTATAGAAATGTCTGGCTACGCCTCTGACCCAGACACGTCAAACCTGGACTAGATTATTCTAAACTACGTGTAGAATAATTAAAACCAGGTGTCGGATTTGTGAAACCCTTCTCTGATTTTTGAAACCTCAATAAAGCCCTTTTTTTTTTTTTTACTGTGCATGTCACACTATACTACTACACCTAGACGCATCAAACTTGGTAGTAGTTTAGAATAATCTAGTTCAGGTTTGATGTGTCTAATGGGAAAAATGACCTGTTTCTCATATCGGAAGCTAGATTTGGAAGCCAACTTCAGCTTCGTGTGTTGTTATGTGTTTATTATCATTATTTATTATTGTTATTATAGCGTGAAAATGGATGAATGTGATCTGGAATACCACACGTAGCCATTTCCTCCTTTGATTTACTATCATGTGAATAAGTTCTCTCTTTTTGTTCCATGTTCTGCTTTAAGTTAAATTAACAATCTGAAATTCCAGTTCGTCAATGCGACAAAGACTGGTTAAATAAATATTAAATGCACATTTTATGATATAAAGATGAGTCAAGAAACCATCAAGATAAATTCTTATGGCTTGTTTTGAATCATTATGATCCCACCTTTTTCCTTGTAAAACCTCAAGGTCAGTTTGTTAATTTACTCCCATAAAAGCCAAATTCCCTGAATTGTTTATTGTGATGATGAGAAGTATTTCCTCATTGTGATGAGTCATGACTTATGATTTTACATTGATGTTGTTTTTTTATGTTTGTTTTTCATTATTTTTTCAGTAACATCCAGGAAGTTAAAAAGGATCCAGAAAAAAACAGATGTAAAGCAATGCAGGTCTTTCTTGTTTAGGTCAAAGCTATTTGGAGAGTTCCTATGATAAAACCATTTCTAATCAAGTAGAAAAAAAACACAAACTTTTCTAACAATTACACACACAAAAGACAATGGATTATCACCAAGACCACTAGGAAAATATTCTGAGCACTGAAGTGACACAGGTCATGACCTTGCTCCAAAACTCTCAACCTACAGCTGAAATAAAATATCTGTAAAGAAAAGTCAACCAAAAAGTTCCTGCCATGTTTTAACATGTAAGGAACAAGAAACCATCTTTCTTTAAAGCAATGCAGGTATGGAGTGCTTAAGCTTTCTTTTGTAACATCCATATCGTTTCACTCCTCAGGACAAGGAGCTGGTGTGCTTCAAAGATATTTATCCCGCAGCTCCTCATCATTACCTGGTCATTCCAACAGAACACATTATCAGCTGCAAATCACTGAAAAGAGGAAACATTGGCCTCGGTCAGTTATATGTTCTCCTTATTCTACGTTCATTTTCATGGCTACTGCTTAAATCAATCAAAATGACGCAAATGCTCTTAAAATGTCTTGCAGGTAGCCTTCACCTTTTTTTATATTTAGAAATAGTGACGTTTTGACCTGTGGGTGATGCCAATAAAGCACCTAGAAAACATTGACTATTGCTGTTTCAAAATAAAAAAAAATGACAGGGGCTCTTATTAAATTTTTTAATAAATAATATATGTTCAACAGTGGAAAGGATGGCTAACTTTGGGAAACAGGTGCTCCGTGACCAGGGGATCACTGATATGGAGGATGTAAGGTAGGAGAAGAAGCCGGCCACTAAAAACATCCCCTTAATTTTTATTTCATCTTCTGGTGTTTCTTACATCCTACATATGCCTAGAGATAAATATTTCTATGAGATTTTCTGACTGAAAAAGAAAGAATAGGTTTGCTGATTTAAGAAATAATCAAAGTGACACAATATAAATGACAAACAGTTGTGTGTCATTTGGTCACACAACTGTGACCTTTCTTCCTTGGTTCTTTCCTGTCCTTTCCCCCTTCCTACTCTTCTTCCTTTGTTTCCTGTATTGTTTGTCTTTGCTTCCACCCTTTTCTGTGTTGCCACCCTCTCATCACAGTGCTTTTTTTCCTTTGTGAATTTCTTGTCCTTCCATCTTTCCCTCTTTTTTGTGTCCTTCTCCCTCTTGTTTCCCTTTCATATCCATCAAATCTCCAATTGTTTGCCATGCTGTTTATCCATGTATTAATTTCTGTCCTTTTTTTCCCTTCCAGTTGCCATTCCTTTTGTTCTTTTTGTCAATCTGTCTGCATCTGGTTTTTGTACGCTCCATACCTAAACTTATGAAGTCAAATTTTTATTTTTTTTAAATATGTGTTTATTAAGTTTTCAAAGTGAAACATACAAAAATCACACAGTATAAAGCATACATATATATTAAAAAATTAGGGTCTAAGGAAAAAAATACTCTTACAAATACAACAATAGTAGTAATACAAAAAAAGGGGCAAAAAAGCCATGGAAACAAGCCAGACAAATGATCTAAGTCACGGTTACACTGCACTGATCACCATTTACACCTTAGGATAGTACTACATGTCTATGAAGGCACGGGTGGCATACTAAGAAACTGAGCCGCTTTCGGGGTCATCTTAGGCTGAGAAATATGGTCCAGAACTGGCTGCCAGATTCTACAGAACTTATTAGTGGAGCCCTTAACATCATATCGCAATTTTTCCAAATGAAGAATCTCAGTAAAATTGCTTATCCACATTTTAAACCGAGGAACCTTGTCAGTTTTCCCAAACCTTAATATTACTTTCTTAGCTATTACCATTCCATAAACCACAGTTGTTTGTATAGAAATGCTGCAGTTCCTAAGTGAGAGAGAGTGTCCAAACAATGCAATTTGGGGGTCTTGAATCAAGGTGCATTTATACACCTCAGAAAACCTTTTGAAAATGTCACCAATATTGAAAGAGCTTGGGGCATGACCAGAACAGATGAGTCAAGGAGCCATCAGTAGATTTACATCTATCACATTTTGGAGATATGAAGTCCATTTTTAAAGGTAAAATACATATGGACCAAATATTTAGTGTATAAATTGATAGGATTTGTTGCATTTGAATGTTAAGATGTGGGGGGAAATGGGAGAGGGAATCTGGAAAGCTTGATCAGCAAAAATATTTGATTTGGCATGTGATGACCAGTTTGTAGTTATCTATTTGAACTGAGTTAACTAAGATTTGGTCACATTTTGACAAAAATAAATTGAGTTTGGCACAGATATGCGTTTGTCCTCCAGGTTAGGGTTCCACCAGCCTCCCTTCACCTCAGTAGACCATCTTCATCTTCATGTGCTCGCCCCGGCCAGCAAAATCTCTACTAGCATGGACTACAAGTTTACACCAGGAACAGATCGTTTTATTACAGTGAGTTTGGGAGATAAGTTTTCTTCATATTCTTCATTTCAATGCTATGTTTTTTATCCTCTAGGTAGGTGCAGTAATGTCTATTGTTTTTCTAAAATGATCAAAAAATTATTTTTTTTTATCTCTTTCTATTTATTATTTTTCTAACTTTCCAGGAAGAGTATTTAAGGAAACGCTTGGAGAAAGTGAGGCCAAACGTTTGTGAAATGATTGGACAGTTTTTTGAGCTGAAGTGAGGTTTCAGGTCCGAGACTAACCTTTAAGGGATTCCAACAGAGCAGCACATTATCCTTCATCAACAGGAACTTTGCAAAACAAAAAAAAAAAACTAGGACCCTGCACTCAGGGCCAAATAGCAGCAGGAAAGTAAAGTTTAAAAAACATTAGCTGCTAAAAACTGGTGAAGGTTCTCAGTCATCCAGGTCAAAGTCATTCAGTGCAGTGAGGAATGCTCGGATCTTTATATTGGAGAAAACAAACGTCTCCAAAAACGCTTGGCCCAACACAGAAGAGCTACCTCCTACGGTCATGACTCTGCGGTACATCTGCACCTTATGGACAAAGGACACTCTTTTTGAGGACCAGAATGTTCACATTTTGGACAAAGAAGACAGGTGGTTTGAGAGGGGGGTGAAGGAACCCATCTATGTTAAAAAATACAACCTTAAACAGAGGGGGTGGACTCAGGTTCCAGCTTTCAAAAACTTACAATGCAGCTATTGAGTTAATCCCTTCCCGTTATCATCGCAGCTCCTGTACAGGGAGCGGAGGACCTTGTCTATTCAGCCAGTCCAACAATCCCCTTTAACGACCCCCTTTTAGACGCTTAGACGGGTATGGGGTATTGCAGTCTAACAAAAGAAGCCAAAGGATGCCTATTCCAAATGGGTGGACCCCTTCGTCTGTTCCAACTGCATGTTTTCAAAACAAAGACAAGGCTTTGATGGGCTACTGTATACAACCTCGAACTCAACGCTATTCCATTTTGAGTTGAAAAAGCTTCTGGGATGGGAAGCAAAATGTCTTCAAACTTGGAAATGAAGTCCAGTGGATTGTTTTTTTTTTTTTGTTTTTTTGAATAGCTGCTCCAAAGTTTATGGACATGCTCAAAATGTACACAATCAGTGGTTTGTAATTGCTTTTTTTGTTTTGTTTTTTTAACAACTGTTTGCACTGATTTTTTTTTTCTAGTACACTTTTGAATAATTGTTTAGACAAAAGTGAAAATTCTGTAATTTCAGTAAAATATGAAGGAGACCAGAGGGCAATTTAAAGCAAAACTGCCAGTAAATTATCAGTTTATCAGTTTAAGAATGATTATTTTAATCTATTTAAATCACTTTGTGTTTTATAAAAATGTATAATAAAAAAAATTTAAAAAACAGAATAATGTTTACATTTTATGCAATAGAACAGGGGTTTGTGACTTGAAGAGTGTGGATATAGAAAGAAAAAATGTTAATGCTTGTAGACAATTAAAAGTAATTTTGAGCAATAGAAATAAACCTCAACACCCATAACAGTTCTTTCATCAGCACAGAAAGCTCAGATATATCTCTATGTTTTACTAAGAAAAGTTCTACTAGGCATCATGTTAAATGCATAACTGTTCAGAAAAGTCGCAAAAGGACCAAACAGCAATTTATAGGATAGAAATGATCAGAAAAGGTTTTGCGCAGTGTAGCTTATGTTAGCATTTTGGATGTAAATGTTAAATTTAAGATGAATAACATATTAACCAAATTCAACACTGAAATCAAAGTAATCTGTCCTTTTTATCATTTCATTAGTATTAATTTTATCACTCCAATACAAAAATTCACTGCAGCATTCAGCTTAACATTATGACTGGAACTCAACCAGTTACTATTGCCTGTTTAATAATGCAGGACACTGAAATTACAAAATAAAAGCTTCACTTGTCAATAGTAACTATTTAGCTGATAGCAGATTAGTGTGTACATTTTCGCATAGGAGGTTGCTTCCATATTCAAAGCTGACTTGTAAAGTACAACCTAAACATAGTGTAGTTCAAAAAAAGGATTATCAGGCCACTTGGATGCAAATATATGCATATATTTTTTTCTGACTAATCAGAGTTGGTATGAAGCTATCGTAAATGGCCTGATGTATTTATTACATAAATGTCAAACATGAGGGAATGTTTTAGCCTTATATCATGAATGCTGGATCCTGTTTTAGGGTCACAAGAACGATTTAGAAATTATAATCTGATGGATACAAAGAAACTATTTGACTGTTCTTAAAATTTTGTAAAAAAAAAAAAAATGTTTCCCCTCTGAATCCAACTCAGCACCAGAACATTTGACTCACTCTGGTACAATAAGCACCTACTGGCATGCCCCTTTTATTACATTCAAGGAAGTATACAATATTAAGTCTATTAGGAATACAAAAAAAAAAACAATATTTTATATAAACATTGATAGTCTTTAATACCTTTTGGTTGAATTTTCCAACATATTTATGTAGGATAGGGTCATAGAAATGAGTAAAGTTGGTTTTCCCCTCACTGCAATTGCATTTTTTTTAATTATTATTTTATTTGTACCTATATTGTACCTTTTTTTTTTTTTTTTTTTTTACAATTTATACAAAGAATGTGCAAAATATTACAGATGAACATTAAAAAAGTATGTTGGGGTCTAAGTCAGGCAAAGAGCATACAGAACCCAAGCAGAAGAGGAAGCTGAACAACACACTGGCAGATTAGATTATAAATCCAGAATAGTGTGACAGTTAAAGCTTTTGCAATGGCACAGTGTGAGGGTGTAGGTTTGATCTCCACTTTGGTAGGGAATCTATTGGTCTTAAGTTAAATTGGTCTGATGTCATTGGTCCTACTCATAGTGCATGCTCCTATTTTTGTTTTAATGCTTGACGTGAGCATCAGGGCGCATTTCGTTTAAAGAGAAAACAGCATTTTTTGCTACATTTATAGAAATTTTATAAGCACTACACACACAATATGCTGTTTATCAATGTTTGAAGCATCAGTGGCTCGGAATAATGTAAAAATTGGGACAACTTAACCCTTTGAAAAGGGTTACATTTGAACTTACCAGTGACTAAGATGGAAGGTAAATATGTGCCTTTTTAACCAAATATAGTGTAAGTATGTCTGTTGTATGTGTATTTATCCAATGTTTTCTTTTGAAGAAATAAAATTGTGCAGAGGTAAACAGAGGTAAAACCCACTCCTATTTTTTTTTATCTGATATGCTGATATTCTCTGTATTTTAAAACAAAGCAAAATAAAATATTCAAGGGACTGCAAATAGTGCTTCAATGAAGGCAAATATTGATATAGATAAAAAAAAGACTTTAAATCTGTTTCAACTTAGAAAGTTACAGCTGGGAACGTGGAAGATTTGTCAAAGAGTCTTTTTTTTAGGGGGAGGGGTTAAAAGTGAAAGCTCTACATAATGTTGTGCTGAAGTTAAAGGTTATGTCCTTCCCTTTCATATTTGCATTTTATGAATGTAGATTGTGGACAGTGGTTTTTAAAACACCGCCATCTATTGGCTGGTGCTGACATTACATTAACGTTCTACGTTAACGTAAAAACGCCGCTGCTGCGGTGAAGCCCCTCCCCTCGTCAACAACTGGATTCCAGCTATCCGTGTTTTCGACAGCTAGCAAGGCTAGCCTGCTAACGATGAGTTTGACCGTAAATATGTAACATACTCCTCGCTATACTTCTATCTGTCTATTTCTGTCTAAGACGGATTACGTTTACCACCTTTCTCGTCCATGCGACCTTACTGGACCAGCGACTGCGGAGAGACTCACTGGCGTACCGTCCTTTAGCCTTCCCCGAAACAAGATTAGCGGCTATCGCTAGCTGGCTCGCTGACAGCTGCTCCGTTTAGCTCAGTTAGCTCCGTTCCTCCAACAGCAACGCAGCAGAGATTTATCATATAAAGCAATGAACCGTCTCTGACATCGGTGAGTCATTGTAATGATATCAGTTTTACGTTATCTTCCAAGCTAACAGTGTTAAATATCGGCTTGTTTGTAGCCGCGGCTACAGAGCCACGCCTGGTCCATTTAAATCCCTGCACCGCAACTTATTTCGACTACAACGTTCAGACTGTCGTTACAGTTTATTCAGAATCTCTACTGTTTATGGTCCACAGAAAACACTGAGGCCCAGTTGGTTGTCACTTTGGAGTTATCCGAAGGCTTTTTCTGGCAAAGTGGGTCTCGGTTGACTGCATTGAAGATCCGCCTGTCCGTTCTCGTTGCTTTGGTTTTACCAGAGCTGCCAACATGATGCCGGTGAGTACATACATTACTGCTGATTTGTTTGCTTGATTGATCACTATTGTCAAGATTTTTTGCAAATCTTACCAAAAAAGTTTAAAGCATTTTACATAATTGACATTTTGGGATAAATTTCCTTCTATTTGCATGTTTCGACCTTAATCAGTATGTTATAAAAAGAAAAATACTGAATTATTAAAAAAAATCAATTGCAGTTTGAACAAATTTTCCTGTAGAGCAGATGTATAAAAAAATATATATATTTTTTAAATCCATGTTTGACTGTTGGATTTAATTTTAAGGAAAAATAAACTTGGGTATGAAAGAGAAACTAAAGTAGTTCAACTAATTTAAAATTAAAATTAAACTTTCCCCCCCATAAGAGTGACACACAGTAGATTCTCCTCTAAAATGCATAACATTCTGCTAGTTGAATAATTTCAGTTAAATTTATCGTTGCATTTTAAAATCAACGTATCCATCTTAAATTTACTGAGAGAAAATCCTTTTGCTTATATAATATGGCCTTTTTAGAGCAGAGCATAACGTAAAACAGTCAAATATCAAATACTGTTTTAATTTTAAATGGTGAGCTTTTATCAGAATTTTATCAAAATATAATATATATATATATATATATATATTTCAAATTTTTAGTGCTTTGTTAGTTATTTAACTCACTATTCTCTTTCTGATATTGCCAGTTAACCTATTAATAGAAAAAAGTATATTGTGTTATCATAGCAAGAGGTGATTTGTGGTTGTTTTGTTTTCTAAAAGTTGCAGAGGAGAACATCAGTGTGGTTTCCAGAGCTCTAGGTGGGATGAGGTAGTCAATATTTGCTTTACTCATGACCTCCTGAGTTCTGAGTGCCACCACAGGCTTGGCGAACAGTTGCATCCAATAAGAACGATCCAATATCGGAGTCAGTGAGTTTGTGAAGCAGAGAGGGACTCGGTTCTCTCTCAGCCAATGAGGCATTAGTAGATCTAGGGCTGTATGTCTGCATCAACTGTTGTTATGGTGAGGGGGGGTTTCTGAGCTGAGTGGATTGTCAACAGGCATAAATCTCACACATTGGAGCTGGGTAGAGCGTGACTTAGAGGAAAAAGTTAATGCTGTTTTATTCTCGCTGTCCCACCTTTTTAAATTCACCATTTAAATGTAACAGCCGCTGAGCCACCACAGTGATGTTTGGAAGGGCTTTTCATCAAGTAACATATTTAATTTACTATGCAGTATTCCTGTTTATTATTATTGCCAACCCATTACGTGTAGATGGAGCAAGTGAGGTATTGGTTTATTTAACAACTAATGCCTGTTTGATTCTGCCCTTTTTTATTGGTTGAATTATTTAAATTATTAATAATGCTTTCTAAATGCTGCACTGATGGACATCAGTCAGCCTGTACTCAGAAACGGTCCATTTTAAGGCAAGGATAAGACGTTGTTGGACTTTGACACCTTGTCCTCTTTAACCGAGGCTTTTATTTGATTC